ACTCCAATGAATTGTAGACGCGTTAAATGAATACAGATCAATCGACAGTTTGATACTTTTCACTTGGTTACATGTGTGTCACATCGGCGGCGACTGAGTGAAGCGCACTCTGTGAGAAGAAAATTTCAGATTTCTGATTAGGACCGCACCACCAATCAATCTCCATATTTTCATAGCGGCTTTAACAAATTCAAATCAGTCTCTCTTTTAATAGTGGTGTAAGCTTGAATCAGCTAATATTTAAATTTGAATCCTATTAAATATTCGAATATTTTATTCCATTTAAATTCGACTAATTAATTATTTTAGATAATTAATAAATATTTTATTTATATAAGTATATAAATATATAATTTAATTATTTTATATATAAATTATATAAAATATTTAAATATTTTATATATTATATATAAGAATTAAATAATCAATCGAATTTGGATATTTATCAAATCGAATCAGATCATATTTAAATTCGAATCCGATTAACTATTCAATATGAATAGGATATCCGAATTCAAACAATTAGATATTTGAAATATCCGAATTCGATCCGATTATATTAAATCTCCATTTTAAAATCAGATTTTCGAGTATCGTTAATATGCCTACTTTTAAGTCAGATATATAGCCCCACTCAATGTCTCTTTGGAATCACACTTAATCCGTTATTAATCGGACTCCCAACTTCGGCTTGAAACGAACAATCCATACCCAACTAATCCTAGTGATATTAAGCTATGAGAAGGAGTGTTTATTTTATGGTCCACCAAATCAGTGTGAATTAAATTTAAATTAGTTATTTGGTCTGGTCTGGTCTGCAAATTTTTAAAATTTTGGTTTATGATTTCAGTCCGATTAGGGATAGCATTTTTCTCCATTTCCATATTGGGCATGGTGAGTGAATTCTTTAACCTGCACTGATATTTAAAATATTTTTATATTTTAAAAATTCTCATATATTAAGTAAATCTATTTTTTTAAATAATTCTAAGTTAAAATTTTCTAGGATTCAAGTCCTTGACAAGGAACCTATCTTCATTGACAACTAGAGATGGAGAAGTACTTTTATCCCCAACAGGGATTAGAATCAAGGTTTCAAATTTTGCAACGTATTGGATCGTATCGACCGATACGCATCATTTCGGTATAAAGTCAATACACGAAATACAAAGAAATTATTTATAGCGTTCTTTTTTGTATGTATCAGTCTGTATCAAGCTGCTTTGGGCCCTATATTGGATTGTTTTGGGTTTGTATCAGCCGATACGATACGGTTCCCAAACAATTCGATACAGCCTGATACCAGTCCCCTTCTCTCCCATTAATTTCATTAATTTATATTTAGGGCCGAATTACCTCTCATTAATTTTACATTTACTCCTATATTTAAGTGCTCATTAATTAGTTAATTACTCCTATAATTAATGTATAATTTTAAATTTGAATTTCACTTGTAATGCCTAATTGGAATTCTCTTCTCATTCAAGGTTTAAAGTATCGGAAACGCTATGTGTATCAGAAAGGCAAATTTAAGAGATGTATCGGGATACACCTTGGATACGCATGGATACGGACGAAAAAATTAAGATACACATGGAAACACATGAGAATGCTATAAATGCTCTAATAAGTCATAAATAAACATTAATATCACTAAATATAAGACATAAATGAGCTATTTATGCATAAAAATAATATGTTTTAGTGGGTTTTATGAAAAAAACATATTATTATCAACATTTGTCCGTATCCATATGTATCAAAAGTATATCTCGATACGTCTCTTAAAATTATCTTTCCGATACACCTTACGTTTCCGATACTCTAAACCTTGATTAGAATCGAGGATGGAGATTTATTTCAAAATCAAAATTAAAAATGGGAAATATAGGTGATGTTTGGTACCGCTTATGTTTATTCAGTAAACGTTTATTGATGGTGCCACATAGGTGCCATCTCAGCATTTTCTCTCTCTTGCTCTTCTGCATACATCAAAAATATAAAAAGTAAACTTTGATTTATGTGCATGCCAGCCGTTTGTACAAATTATTTTTTGAAGCTTCCACAAACGACCAAACGTTTATTCATTGTTACACTGAAATGACACCTAGTGTAGCCCAGTTATCACAAACAATTACAATTATTGCATTTTTCAGTTTTTTCAATAGTTAAAGTACAAAGGTTTATTCAATAATCATAAATAATACTAAACACATACATAATCCCTGCACCGAACCCATCTCATTGCTATTTCTACTCACATATATGTAGCTCGGCCCTAATTTTCCCCAAACCAGACCAGACCGTGAGCACCCTTGTTCAATCAGGCCCAACCCCCAGCGACCCCCACTTATTACGTTTGAATTCAAGCATCTTGAGTACTTCCTTTTCCTCGAACCTTCTACTACCAGAATTTCCACAAAAAGAAAAAGCCGGTGAAGCCTAATATGATGACTTCCAAAGAATGCTTACATCGTTGCCTTGACCATATTATATCATATCAACATCCTCATTATTTTACCCGCAACATTGCAAACATTTCCTTACACATTGACGCAAGATTTGTTACAAGTGGCAAGTTGTGGACCCTCACTATACTTACGTGTCACGTACGGTTGGAAAATAATGCCAAACTAGTATTAGGGCCTTGAGGCCATTAATACTAAAAACCAAATAAAAACCTTTTATTTGGTATTTTATTCATGTAGCCGATACCAACTATAGTTGGGATAAGGGATGGATGGTAACATCTGTATTTGTATTCTTCCCAAACTGAGTTCAGAAACAATTAAGTTTGGGACTGTTTAGTAGGTAGGTGTTTGGTATTAATGTCATTTTGTTAGAGAATGGTTTTATTTCAGAAATTCGTTTTTGGGAAAATGTCTGCTGTTTGGTTAAGTCGTTTTTTCAAAAAAAATGTTTTTTCATATCATAGCTTGGAAATTAAGAAAGGTGTGGCCTGAAAAAATGTCCTTTTTGGTGTTTTCCATTTTCTCTACTATTACTAGTATACTTACATGGCATTGAAAAACACCTATGTGGTAGCAACAGCAATGATACTAACTAGAAAACCTTAGAAAATGTTTTCTAAGAAAATAATATGCTTATGCAGCACCATGTTCTAAGAAAACACCTCTCAAGAAACAATATTGGTTCTAAACACCACCTTAATTAACAAGTTAAACAAGCAAAAGTAGATGTTAAACCAATGTTTTCAACCTGTCGTTGGCCCAACCAGTTGAACCATTTGAACTATCACCCAATTAGGATTTTGGGTCCGGTTTTGTTAAAACCCATCATTTAGTCAGAAACCATCCGACTTGATCACTGGGTCGCAGGTTGTAACTCGATGCTTGTAAACTTTCGAAGGCCATTACTTTGCACTCCAATGTCCGATTAGGGTGATCTTTTTTCATTTTGGATAACTTTTCAAGATCTATGTGTTCCACCCTACTATTTTCGCGAAAAAAAAAAAAAAAAAAACATTTTTTTAGCTTCAAGTTACAATTTTTATTTTTTTTTTATAAACAAAAAAAATAAACACTGAATAAAAAATAGATTAAATATAAAATAATACATATATCATATCTAAAACATAATTACACATTATTTATTGATAAAATGTATTTATATATACACACAAAAACAAATAATGGTTCGACCTCCGGGTCGATTTTTAAAACACTATGTTAAACTATCTAACCCATTTTTTGATAAATTGAAAGGGGTTACACGAGACGAGGATAGTACATCTCCAATCATCACATAAACAAGATCCCTAGGTAAATTCATCACCAGAGAACTCACGATCAATAACACAGGGATGAGTTAACCAATCTGTCACTTGATTTGCTTATAATTATAAGAAATTCATAAAAATAGAAAGCAATATTATGAGTTTCCCACGCAACCCAAACTTCAAAAAAGTTACTGGAAGGAAAGCCAAGAATATGCTGGCTTTCCTGTCAATGTGATTCATAGCAATGGAACAAAAGCCATTCTGCACACATGAAACATCAATATTAGTACAGCTGCCGGGTAGAAGGAAATGAAAAAAAAAAAAAAAAAGCATTCACAATGGCAATAAATACTCTTGGAGAGATAGAGAGAGAAACCAACCCCATAACTGAACTTGAGAGATCTCCCCCATTCTCACTTCACCAGAAATCCAACATCTGAATTAAGGCTGATGCAACCATACTGTTTGGAATGGAGAGCTGAAGATTCAAGAAAAATAGTTTGATCAGATGCCACGCAACACACAACTTGGCACCAATTACATGGTTAGATGAAAAATAATTGTAGCCTTCTCATCTTTGTTTTATATTAATATTTAGTTGTATTCCTTAATTTTTCTTGAATAAAATCAATAACATATACAAGTCTTAACTTAGAGTTCACATCTCCGCCCCACAACGCCCGTCCTGTATTAAAAACATCTACCTATGATAATACCATTTTCAATAATGTCATCATTGAGAGATGTTCCCACTACACAGCGAAAATATATTGTGAGGTGTTGTGGGGCGGAGATATGATATCCTTGACTTATTGACACCCTTCAATATATTAATCTTTTTAGGTGAAACCACCATCAAATTGATATATATAGAGAGAGAGAGCTCTACAACTATATTACACTACTATATTTATAAACACAGATAACAGTTGAAAAAAATATATACGTAACAGAAAAATACATTCATTTTTCTTTTCTCTACTTCATGTACAAAATAAAGCGTCAATCAAAGAAAACGAAAAAACTCTGTAATGACTCTCGAGATTAAAGACTTGAATGTCCCAACAAAAACCCAAGAGAAGTCAACATTCAACGCCATGAGGCTTCACAATCGTTTAATTATATAGAAGAGAGGGAGGAAGGTGATCGCCCAACTGATGGCAATTATGATTTATGATTCATTCCCATATCCTCCTTGACCCCTCAAGTCCCAAAACCCTCTCTCTCTCTCTCTCTCTCTCCATCTTCCTAAGAACCCATCATGGCCAACAGGGAAAAGGAGCAGGTGAAACCATTGGCACCGGTTGCCGACCGGATTAGCAGCGACGAAGATGAAGCTACGTTCTATTCCAAGAAACTCCGGCGTAGGAAATACATCAAATGTTGCGGGTGTATCACTGCCTTGTTGCTACTACCTGCTATAGCGATCATAGTGCTTGCCTTCACCGTGTTTCGCGTCAGAGAACCTGAAATCAAGATGAACAGCGTCAAGATAGACGGCTTAGAGCTTGTCAGTGGTATCATTTCCGGCACCAGCATCAACATGTCCCTAACTGCCGATGTCTCCGTCAAGAACCCAAATTTTGCATCGTTCAGATTCGGCAACGCCAGCACCACCGTCTACTACAGAGGCACGGTGGTCGCCGAGGCAAGAAATCCCCCCGGCCATGCCAAGGCCCGACGAACCCTGCGGATGAATGTCACTGTGGATGTTATCACTGATCGATTAATCAGTAATCCCAACCTGATTAGCGATATCAGCTCCAGAATGTTGGCGATGAGCACCTACACCAGGATCGGTGGCCGGGTTAATATACTCAAAATAGTGAAGCGACATGTCACTGTCAAGATGAATTGCACCATGACTGTTAATATAACGAGCCAGGCCATCCAGGATCAGAATTGCAGGCGACATGTGAAGCTCTAGGGATCTACACCTATTTTGGGCTGTTTCAGTCGCTATTAATAGTTGCTATTCTTCATAGTTTAGTACGCAGGCTGTATTGATTTTCCATTTCTCCCCCATCTGTTATACATGTATGATTATGATATATCAGATATTAATTCAATTTTTTTATTTCTTCTTCTTCTTCTTCTTCTGAGCGTTTTTTGTTCTTAAATCGGGCTTCTTTAGATAGTCATATACCCATTTGTGTTTCAATTATAACATTTGAAACTTTAAAATTGTAAACCATTTCGTAATAAATTTCTTCCTTTTGCCTTGTCTGTTGGTGTTGTGAGCCAGATTCATTAGGAATTTAGGATCAGACGGAAGAACTGGTAAAACAGAGGACCTGTAAACGTGTTCCACAGAGGATGCAATTTTTCAGAAGAAATGATCCATCAGTCCTGAGAGAACGTATTCCACGAAAATTTCTGTCCATTGAACAGAGTGACCAGTAGTATTAGATCATGAGACAGATCGCTGGGCCGAAATTATAGGTATAATCAGTTCTGATCTGCAACGTAACCAACTGTTCTGGTGTCCCCCCTGTCACCCCCAGTAGGAATATGGAGAGGAATTCATTCACTTAAACAGAATTTGATATTTTTTTCATCAAAAAAAAACATTTGATATTTTTTTCTCAACACTCTATCAAAATTTTTTGACACCCAGCTTGGAATTGGGATCTGCTCTGTGTCTGATCCTAACGGATAGCTTTTTACACCGACCTCATAGCTACATCCTACCGTATATTGAGAACATCTCTTATTGAATAATAATATATAAATAAGAGAAATATTTCCGATGTGATGTACGGCTGATATCTTGCCCTTGAAAAAGAATAAAAACCACTTTTGATATATATATATATATATATATATATATATATATATATATATATATATATATATNTATATATATATATATATATTTATATATATAAATACTCATTGAAGTGCTTACAATGACTACTAGATGAGGACTAACTTAAATAATTGAATTAGACGCAATAGCAATTAGCAATCAGCCGTACCTGCCTGGCTGCACAGGGGAATAGTGATATTTGGGATGTGTTTGGTTGCAATTTTATTTATTTTAGTATAAATATAGGAGAATGCAAATTTTAATTTAATTTTGTTTTTTATTTTATTTTATTCTACTTCAACGTTTATTATACTTCATTTATACTGCAATCAAATAAATTAAGGGAATATTTGAAATAAAAATAAATAAAAAAATTTACACCCAAATAATTTACACTTCGGATCAATGTGTTGGGTCAGGATCAGGTTTAGGTAGAGCGAGTCCCGAAACCGGTTATTAATCTAGGCAATAACAGAGCCATAACTATCCAGATTATATTGATTATATTATCAAAATCTGAAATTATATTTAATTATTCAAATAATAGCTTAAAATATAAATTTTGATAATATAATCAATAAAATGATAGCAAAATGCTAAATTGTTTACATGATAATAAACTGAAATATTTTTAACAATATTACCATATATTATCTATCAAATTTACCATTTCAAACATAATATATAATAAAAATTATAATAAATTTAAAAAAAACTATATACCTAATAAAATAATCAGTTTAGGACAAACAAGAGCCAGAACCAACCTGGTTAATTAATTGGGACAAAATCATGAAACCAGAACTGACATAATCGATTCAATTCAGTTCCGGCAGTCAGCAGAACCAATCCATTGACAGCCCTTATATTGCCATAATTTTACACCAGTACAAATAAATTTGTACTGCAACCAAACCCTGCCTTACGAATTAACAATTGTTTTTATTCGGAGCCTTATAGGTGGGGAATTCTAATTCTACATGGTTACGAGTGGTGGGACGTCAATTTTGTTAGGTACTTTTTTTTTTCAATTTGTAGCTCATTTGGATTCCTGTGTTCATCTATCTTAGTGTCTTGTCACAGGTTGCTTTCATGGGTTTGTTGGACCAAACCCAAATCTATTGGATTATTAAATTATTCAAAGAAAATCAAGACATGATAATGAAGCATGAAAATGACTATAAAGAGTATTATAAGAAAAACAAGCTAAGAACTTGTATCCCTAGAGGAAGTGCACCTTTTTCTCGTAAGACTTGTTTGGCATGCTAAAAGAAATGTTGAAATTGTTTCATTTCGAGCATAAGAATGACTTCGACCTTAAATAGTCCTAAAGTGTAAAGAGTATTTTACGGGATGAATGGAACAGAGGCAGATTTCTATTTTCTAGCGTAATCAAACATGTTTATGGTGGTGGTTCGAGTCAAGCTAAGCCAATAATATTTGGTTATTTGAGTTTGACTTGGTAGGAAAAACACGAGGCTTAAGTTTGGGCTCAAGCTCAACTCAAACTAGAAACATGAACTTGAATTTGGCTCAACTCAAAAGCTTATATGTTTAAGTTCCACTCGACTTGAGCTTAACTATGAAGTAAGCTATATAAAAAATAGTATAAATTACAAATAAGCACCTTTACTTGGGGTAGTGACACCTAAGGATCTGCACTTTTATGGGCGACATTTTAGTACCTTGAATTTTCACAAATATACACTTAAGTCTAACCTCGTTAAGCTAGCGTTACAATGAGGGAGAAGTTACTAAATGCCATCTTTATATTCTCCTTTTGTATGGTTCCTCTTCTGCTACCTTGGGATGCAATCTAGTGGCAATACAAAAGAAATGTTGATTCGCATAATAACAAAGCAACTAAAGGCTGCACCTAAATAAAAGCATCTAAAAACAATGGTCATATGTTAGGAGATTAAGGAAGCCCTAGCTAATAAAATGAATGCCACCAAGTCGAGTCATGACAATACAAAAGTTGTGGAGTTACAAGAATGACTGTATTTGTAGAATAAGAGGGAGGAGATTCTTTGGGCTCAAAAATTCTGGGTTAACTGGCTCAATCATGGTTATAAGAACATTAAGGCCTCGTTCACTTTTCGGTAAGTTCTTTATCCGGGTAAATGCAGTTATTTGGGTAACTTTTTCTTAGGAAACACTTATCCGGGTAAGTGCATTTATCCATTTTCTTTTAGTTCTCATGTAAATAAGGCAATGACCATTTTAACCATAAAAATCCATTATCAAAAAGGGCACTTTTGTGCCATTGAAGTGTTGGCAACTTTACCCCTAGGTGGGAAAGTTATTTACCCACCTAGACAATGAGTATCGCTTACTAAGTGATACCCATGAAAATAAGCTTTCCCTGGTCCCCACATAAATCTACAAAAAGAATATGGGATTCTTGATCAATGGGAACCAAAATCCCATTGACCAACTTTCCCCCTCTCAAAATCTGAAAAAAGAATGCCCCCTAATTAAGTTCTTTCACCTCCACACTCTTACGACAAGACCTCATAACATAGTGGTGTGAACCAACAATATTCAAATGGAGATGTGGTCGTCAAGCAGGTCCTTTTTGATCATTTCTATGGAATGTTCTAAACTTCTAATCACTGTCAGAGTAAGGTTCCTTTAGAGATTGCCCGTGCTTTGGAAGTGGAGGTCTCAAAAGAGAAAATTGTGAAAGCCCTCTTTCAAATGTCTCCTAGGAAAGATCCTAGTCCTGATTGCTTCCCAAATCTTTTTTTTTTCTAGAAGTATTGTGAGATAGTTAAAGAAGATGAGTAACAGGCCATCAAAGGTTTTTTCTAGTCTAGTCACTTGCTTAAGGAACTCAATGTCGCTCTATCTGCTATAATCCCAAAAGTCAAAGACCTTGACTCTACTACCCACTTTATATAGACCTATCAACCTTTGCAACACTATCTAGAAGATCATTGCAAAAATTCTAGTAAATAGGTTGAAGCCCCGCCTTGACTCAATCATCAATAAGAACCAAAGTGCGCTTTCATCTCTAGGAGATTAATAAATGATAGCATCCTGATTGCTCACAAGCTAATTCATTTCATGAAAACATCTTAGAGTAAGAAAGGAACCATGGCCATCAAGTTGGACATGAGTAAAGTGTATGATCAGGTCAAGTGAAATTTTCTTAAACTTGTTATGGAAAAGATGGGGTTCGGCCAAAAGTATATTCAATGGGTAATGGAGAGCCCCTCTTTCCTTATCTCTTCCTTCTTTGCTCAAAGGTCTTCTCTACCAATTTGAAATATATCAGATCAATCAGTCGTGTGAACAATCTCAGTTTCTTGCCTCCTCCCCAATTGGATTTGGAGCCACTACCAATGAGCTCATCAGAGACCTCGGCTAGAATCCCCATCTCGACTTCATAGTAACAAGAAACCCCTACCAAGACCGTAGTCGGAATCCCCATCTTGACTTTGCAGTAACCATAAACCCTACCAAGACCTCGACTGGAATCCCCATCTCGACTTCACAGTAACCAAAAATGGTTGTTGTAGCTTACATTACAAGAGAGTTCGGAGATAGAATTACAATGGAAATGGGTGTCCTAGCTCACATTTGATGGATGTTCAGCAAGCGCCTTATAGTAGCAAAGAGTGGAGGGAATTACAGGGAAGTTCAGAGATGGAAATGAGGGAAATGGGTGTTGTAGCTCACATTTGATGGGCAACTTTGAAATGCTGGAGATGGTAGCCACCACCTATCGTCATTGGGTTACAACTTAGAAAGGTCGGTGAGTCTCAATTTCTGTGAGTTCGCGGGCAATCTTCTAAAACATGGCCAAACAATTTTTGTGAGTCAACAAGGCTCAATATCTAGTCGGCAACTCATGAGATGGAGCCACCTATAGTACTATAGTGTAATTAGATCTGGTCAACAACTCATGAGTTGGCAAGGCTACTACAACTGCAAAACTATATGCAAAACCCTTGTCAAGACCTTCCTCATCAGTTTCATTGTCGTTATCGTAGAGAGAAAAATCCCAACGGTAACCACCACGAAACGGCTAGCAATTTTGCTTCCTCTATTTCCACCTCCCCCACCTGGAAAGGCAGCACCGCTGCAACCACCACTGCCACCATTACTGGCAA